GGCATGTCGTGACGTACGTGCAAGATGCTCGTGTCTGTTTCAAATGAGTCTCGCATTCGGTTCTGTTTGTCCTCGGGCTTATTCAAGAGTTGCCTCTTGGGTGTTAGGTATTATTATTGTTGTTGTTTGTCAAATTCTACGTTGGGTCTATACGGCACGTGCCACGGAGTTTTCATATTTAATTTTGTCTTTGCCAAGTGGTGTTTACATTCTGTTTCAGTCCGGCTGTTTATACTATTTATTACCCAGAGCGCGTGTTTAATTTTTAAAATGACATTTTGTGAGTACGAAGCTTATGTATTTATTTAATTTCCGTGTGTTTTGCGACGGAGAGAGCGGGGGTGAATGCTGTTGTTATTGTCGTTGTTGTTGAACGGAGTGGCTGGTGGCCGTCCGCTGTACGACCCGGTCCTGCGGTGTGTAAGACGGAGCGGTAGGAAGTTCAGATCGTCTCGACTTATCCGCTGACGATCCCTGGGGTTTGATCTTCCACCCTTGGCCGCATCGCGCACTGCGCAAAGCAGACGCGGGTGCTGGCTGATGATGCACAAACGGAGAAATTAAAACAAGTCCCCGGTCTTGATTGGAAGCTTTCGTGACCGGCGGGATCCACACCATACTCTTTGCTTCTATTCGGTAAAGTCACGTAGGTAAAACATTACAACAACAAAAATCACGACGTTTCGGCCACAACACAAGCGGCCTTCATCAGGTGAAGGGACCAACCTGTCCATCAGGTGAAGGGACCAACCAACGGGCCGCTTGTGTTGTGGCTGAAACGTCGTGATTTTTGTTGTTTTAATTTTTTACCTACGTGACTTTACCGAATAGAACCAAAGAGTATGGATCCTTGCAGTCACGAAAGCTTCGAATCTGGAATCCGCACTCTTCGTGTTCTTTCGGTGGAGTCGTCACGTAGGGCAGAAAGTAAAATAAATGACGACGTTTCGGGCTCAACCACAGGCGTCCATCGTCAGGATGCGAGTCAAAGTCTCCAGCCGTGGCGGCGGTGCAGACGGTGGTCACCCAGAACAGAGCGCAGCAGAACGACACAATGCCCCGATCCGCTGATACTAAGGAGACATCACGACGACGACGATGACGATGATGATGATGACTATGATGAGACACTCCGTACCGGATGAAGCGAGTGCGGGGCCTGTAGCATTATGGTATCAAGGGGCCCCTAGATAAAAAAAAAACACGTGAATATTAAAACACATCCATTTTTTAACTTGTATAGTAAAGTAATTGTATTTTTTCATTTGCTATAGAGCCAGATAATGCGACAAATCGCTAACCTTAAACACACGGTCGTTCGTAAAAGTTGAAGGCGGTATAGTACTATAGTAATAGAGCTGGTGCAGAATCATTGAACCGGAATTGATAGCTTGAAAGCATTTAGCGCGGAGGGGGGGCTCTTGAAAGTGCGGGGCCCGTAGCTACTACTACATAGTAGCTACTATGTAGTAGTAGCTACTATGTAGTAGTAGCTAATATGTAGTAGTAGCTACTACTACATAGTAGCTAGTGTAGTAGGAGCTACTACTAGATGTAGTAGCTACAACTACACATGAAGCTACTTCTACTACGAAGATAATCCGGCACTAGATACACCACTCCGCTAATCCTGACGCGGTTTGTCTGGCTTGACCCACCCGAATGTGACGTTGCAGCTTGTCGCTCTGCGTCGACATCAGCGGGCGCCCGACAATATTTCGTGGAAGTAATGTTGGGAGTCTCGCTGTCTCTGCTTGTCCCGCGTCTCAACGGAGGACACACGTCCCTCTGCTCGCTGGCCGTGGAAGGGCTTCGGTTGGGGCCTGGGTTGTGTTGGGGGGTTAGGGGTGGAGTTGGGACCGAGTGTTGTGGTGCTGTGGTGCTGTGGCCGACGTTGGGGTAGAGGTTGGGGTTTGGGATTCGGCGTTGAGGCTGGAGTTGCAAATGAAGTTGGAGCTGGGGTAAGTGCTTGGGTTGTGGTTTTGCCTGAGTTGTGTTTGGGGCCAGGGTTGTGGCCGCGTTGTGTTTGGGGTTGTGGTTGCGTTGTGTTTGGGGTTGTGGTTGCGTTGTGTTTGGGGTCAGGGTTGTGGTTGTGGCCGCGTTGTGTTTGGGGTCAGGGTTGTGGTTGTGGCTACGTTGTGTTTGGGGTCAGGGTTGTGGTTGTGGCCACGTTGTGTTTGGGGTTGTGGCAGCGTTGTGTTTGGGGTCAGGGTTGTGGTTGTGGCTACGTTGTGTTTGGGGTTGTGGTTGTGGCTGCGTTGGTCTTGGGGCCAGGGTTGTGGTTTTGAGTGAAGGTTGCCACCGTGGATGATGGGACGTGATGTTGCCGTGAGGATGTTGTTTGGGTTTGGGATGGATGTGGATTGGGGATTATGTTTCTGTCTGTGTTTGGGGCTGAGCTTGAGGTTGGACTGAAACTGTAGTGGGGGGGGTGAGGTTGGCCAGTTGGTTGATTGATTTGTTTGATTGATTTGTTTGATTGATTTGTTTGATTGAGTTGGCTTTGGGTTGTATTTAGGGCTATGGTTAGAGTTGTGTTTGTCGCTGTGTTTCGGCTCGGGTTGTGGTTAAATTTGTCGCTGTGGCTGGGTTGGTGTTTGTGGACGGGTTTGCGATACATTTTTTTGGCTGGAGTTATTAACCAGCTCGTGTCCTTTAAGCCAGGGTCAAAGGGCAAGTTGTGGCCACTCCCACGGGCGAGTGGCCTGGGCAGGTGTGAGGAACCGAACGAGAATCCATCATCACCATTCACGCGATTCACATCCTCAAATAGCCCTCGAGCCACTTGCCACAAAGTGTCTCATCGGTACCCCTGAGGGTGACGACTGCTACCGATGTTTTCTTAGGAGCGCCTAACCTCGAGATCACAGATCTGTGCGATAGCAGTGCAGCCGTTGCAGCTTTAAACGGGTCAACGGCCATTGAACGGGGCTCAGCCGTGTGGCATGAAACATCTGCGCATTGTGAAATGAATAGTAGGTGGACACTGGCCCCCGTGGTGGACACACGTAGCGTTTCCCTCCCTCCCACCCCCCCCCCCCCCCAAGGTGTGGTACCAGTCACAACCCCCTGGGCTCAAGGGTTAAGAGCTTCCCACGCGGTGGGGCATGGTGGGCGCTGCGAGGAGACAACCCTTGGGAGGAGCGATAACGGAGTTTTGAGATACTGGGCCTGATTTATGCGTTGGCCGGAAGCCCGATCTCGCCCGCTACACGTTGAGTAACAGCCACATGGGCATGCTTTTCGTTCACTTCACCGTTTTTCCTGCCAACAAATTCGTCAAGCGCGCAGTTAGACAAAACTCGTCGTTGCCTTGGACCCACCGCACCACGTCGCGCGAGCTCTTCAAAGCCGGCCACCTCGGCGAGGTCTCCGGGCTGCCCTCTCTCGGCTCGGCCGAAGGGCGGTGGCCTGAAACGTCTGGCGTACTGCATGCGTGTTTCAAGTTGACTGCGTTTTGACCAGGCGCATACTGGAGAGGTCAAGGATGGAAGGTTTTCATTTGCAAGAGTGTGACCTGGGTCCCCCAAATTGCCGAAAGCGAAACGAATAAAATAAATGCGTGTGACCCGAATAGAAATCGGCGCAAAAACAACTGCCGTGACGTGAGGAATCTCAAATGTTGCACAAACGTAAAGTCATAAATTCCCTGCAGCTCAAGGTGGCTTGCGCAGATTACATTTTAGACTGAGCACGGTCGGTTACGTACGGCGCAGAAGAAGTTCAACGCACACTGCACAATGACGATTAGATGACGGAAACGCGAAACGGATTGGGGGGGGTGATTGGAACGGTAATTTTAACTTGCACAGCGACGCCGCTCGGTATTCACTCGGCGTCAAGAGACGGAGTCTGACGGCACGAGGAACCGCAGACATGCGGGGAAGGCGGCGGCAGGGCGGTGGGCCGGCACCAGCAATCGCCTCCTAAGCTCTGTGACCCTTGCTACGTTGAGGTGTTATCGGCCAATCAGTGAGTGGTTGCTGTGGTGCGAATATGCAAACTGACGAGGGTATGCAGCTGCGTAAGTATATTAAAGGGGAATTTGTGAATGTGTGTGTGTCTGTTCGAGATGTTTAGTGTACTTCCCGACATGCAACAAACTTGGAATTTGCCATGTGGGTAGCTTCCAGACTGTACACCATGGCAAAAGTCAAAAAAATAGACTTTTGTATTTTGGGGAGCGGGGGGGGAGGGGTGCGCAATAACGGATATATTTTGCACGGCAAGTGAGCGGTGACGTCACATCTGTGATGTCACACCCGCACGCGGCAGCGTCACGCAGTGTGCCTTGCTGACGTCACGCACCCTCCCTCCCCAACCCTCCGTGTAGGCCGTCTATTAATACGAGACAAGAATCCAAGTCCCGGGCGAAGCCGGCTAGTAGTAGGGCTCGTACGAGCGTGAATGTAGCTGCACGTGACGTTGGCGTCGATGGTCGTCGGCTCGGAGCCCGGTGACGCGTGCGGACCGGTGGGGAGGCAGCCGTTCTTGGCGTCGGCGGAGACCGAGCGAGGACTGTGCTACGGATCGATTCCGCGGGCGTCGGGCGGGGCGGCGGGGGCGGGGGGCAGGGGTGGTGTTGTCTGTGTGCGCGGGGGTTGGGTCGGCCTCAACGCGCACGTGGCCTGGCACAAGCGCCGTGGTGACGTCGCCGCCGCTTAGTGGCGAATGGCGGTTGCTGTCGCTAGTGGCGGTAGTGCAGCGCTACGAACCCGGCGACCCGTTCGCGGCCAATGCCGGCGGCGATTATCCGAACCGGCCACCGGGCCTCTTCCCCTAGGTCGACTCGGCCTCAAATGAGTCACCTGGTGCGGTGTGTCGTAAACATCGCCACTGGGGAGACAAAGGCGGCCGGGGCGTGGTGCTGGACACCCGCCCCCTCGTGTGCCGCGGTGCCGGCCTTCATTGGTGCTGCTCGCTGACAGGGCTTGCCCCAACGGTCACTTGACGCTACACGGGGGACCTTTGTCTTTGGGGGCTCCTCTCGTCCGCCGCAGGTGAAGGGCTTCAAGGAGAAGATCGAGGCAGAGAAAGGAGCAGACGCCTTCCCGGCCTCGGGTCTCAAGTTAATTTACGCAGGTAACTCCCGTGTGTGTGGGTAACCGTTGTGTGTGTGTGTGGGTAACCGCCCTGTGTGTGTGTGGGTAACCACCCTGTGTGTGTGTGTGGGTAACCGCCCTGTGTGTGTGTGGGTAACCGCCTCGTGTGTGTGTGGGTAACCGCCTCGTGTGTGTGTGGGTAACCGCCTCGTGTGTGTGGGTAACCGCCTCGTGTGTGTGGGTAACCACCCTGTGTGTGTGTGGGTAACCACCCTGTGTGTGTGTGGGTAACCACCCTGTGTGTGTGTGGGTAACCACCCTGTGTGTGTGTGGGTAACCACCCTGTGTGTGTGTGGGTAACCACCCTGTGTGTGTGTGGGTAACCACCCTGTGTGTGTGTGGGTAACCGCCGTGTGTGTGGGTAACCACCGTGTGTGTGTGTGGGTAACCACCGTGTGTGTGTGTGTGTGGGTAACCGCCACGTGTGTGTGTGGGTAACCACCTCGTACGCGACACACGTGCACACAGCAGGACCTCTCCAAGACGGACTTGAGTTGGCCACAATCCTCCGATTAGCACGGTTGGGCTATGTATGGTGTGAATGAAGTTCAGCACGCACACACACACACACACACGCGCACACACACGCACACACGCACACGCGCACACGCGCACACGCACACACGCACACACGCACACACGCACACACACAATCTTATTTGCATACGTTTAGGGTGCTTGCACTCGGTGCGCTCGGTGACGTAGCTTGCGCGGCAGTGGCGCGGAGTGGGGAAGAGGAGGAGGAGGATGGGCGCTGGGGGAGAGGAGGTGAGCTTTCAGCGAGGAACGGGCAGAACGCGGGGTAAGCCCGGATGGCCAGCCCCAGGAGTTCTTGGCGATGGAAATGAAGGAGCCAAAAAGCACCGCGTGGCGTGGGACGTGGGCTCGGTCTTTTCGGCACGAAGGCATTTTCACTCGCTGCAGCTCTTCATGTAAATGGACCCAACGGTGTCCAGCATTGTTCTTGAAGCCGACTCATTGCAGTCGCCCCCCGTGGACACGGCTCGCGGGCACGCGGCCCCTCGGGGAAGCGCCCGTGTGGCGGAGGTTTGCGGGGTTCCGATCCGATTGGCCGCCCTTGTTACTACGGCGGCGCGGCCGCTTTCACCGTGAAAACGCCACGCGCCGCCTGCTTCACGGCGGACGTTTGAAGGTCCCGTGACGTCACGCGCAAAGGGGTAGGCCGCTGTGTGCCCGCATCGCGTTTCAAATTTCGTAAGACATTGGGAACTGTTCAATCCCGAGCCTGACGCCTGCCGTGTATTTTGAGTTTGCGGTGTCTCTCTCTCTCTCTCTCCTCGTCAGTTTTTCATCCGGGTCCTCCGGTTTCCCCCTCCGTATTTAGAACCAACGTCACCACGCGTTTAGAGCATTTGGCGGTTTCTAAACATTTCCACGTGGCAAGCCAACTTCGTTGAGCCACCAGTTGTGGGCTGGTCAACTTCTGAAAGAGGACTACGTAGCTCAGCGGGCTTTGCCTGGCAAAATAAAAAATATATAGTTTTTAGTTTAACTCCTACACCTTCTTGATCATTGTTCTTTTTTGCCCTTTTATCTGGCAACAAAACTGACACCTTTTTTTTTGACAAGGAGTCGCGTTTGTATTGACCCACAACACCTGCGGTCGGAATGCAAACCAAAAAAGACACAACTCTGATAATGTATTGAAGTTACACACCGGTGGGCTAAAGTAGTGAATTATTTGTCTTTTGTCAACGTGACACTTTTTTTGCTGATTGGCCGTGTCGGGTGGTGGAGGGTTACGACACATTTATAAATAAACGCGATCTAACCCAAAAACCTTTATTATGAATAATATTGGTCGTGAAAGCCTACGTGTTAAACTGATTATTGTCCTCGCAAATTGATTGGTCCCCACGCGAGAGACAGCTTTCCTGCGGGCCTAGTCTCACGTTGGTGTTGGACCAGAACAAAAACAGGCATCAGTTTTGTCGCCAAATAACGAGGTTAATAAAAAAACCAATGATCATGTTTTGCTACTTGGCAAGGGAGGTTCCAACGGTCGTACCACATTCGCCTACGTGTGCGCATGTGCCGAACTTCTTTCGCACCGTGCGTAGCCAGCAAGTGCCGAGAAAATAATACGTTGGCCCGACGTTTCGCGGCAAACGGCCCTTCTTGACGGCACAAAGCCGGACGGTTTGCTGGAGATGAGCGTTGCCTCCCCCTCCCCCCCCCCCGCTGTTCCCGCAGGCAAGATCCTGAACGACGAGTCGACGCTCAGGGAGTACAAGATCGACGACAAGAACTTCGTGGTCGTCATGGTGGTGAAGAGGGGGGGGGGGCGGTTGGAGTTGCATCGCTTGTTCGGGTGGTGACGCATGATGAAGCGCTGCTGCCGTGGAGGGACAATTATTATAATAATAATTAATCACGTGGTGAAAATCGTGACCCACGTGCATCGGGAAATGGGGGTGCCGTAGCGGCTAGGAGATGTTGACTACCTCGCCTGGTATGCAGGAGGTTGTGGGTTCCATCCCGATCCTAACACCAGGGTGGCTAGGAGATGTTGACTACCTTGCCTGGTATGCAGGAGGTCGTGGGTTCTATCCCGACCCTAACACCAGGGTGGCTAGGAGATGTTGACTACCTTGCCTGGTATGCAGGAGGTCGTGGGTTCCATCCCGACCCTAACACCACGGTGGCTAGGTGATGTTAACTACCTCGCCTGGTATGCAGGAGGTCGTGGGTTCCATCCCGACCCTAACACCAGGGTGGCTAGGAGATGTTGACTACCTCGCCTGGTATGCAGGAGGTCGTGGGTTCCATCCCGACCCTAACACCACAGTGGCTAGGAGATGTTGACTACCTCGCCTGGTATGCAGGAGGTCGTGGGCTCCATCCCGACCCTGACGACGCCTGCTGCTGCTACTCTATATTTGGAGTCTGCGTCTCTCTCTCCCCGTGGTTGCGTGGATTTTTCTAGAATGAACAGCACGCGTTTGGACTGTTTGGCTGCTACTTGAATGATAAGCCACTTGGTTGAGCTCTCATTTGTGGCCAGATCGCTTCTGATAAAGAGCTGTATTGCTCCTCAGGGGGCCTTACCTGGTAAGATAAAAAAAGTGTAATTATTTTTTGTAAAGTTATTTTCCCACCTTTCCTTCTTGCATTGCTATCGTGCTTTTGTTTTGTTGCAACGTTCCGACCCAGTGCCCCTACTGGACATCTGTTAAAAAGAGCTTCATAGCTCACCGGATTCCTCCACTGTAAGTGAAGATTCTGATTCGCGATACGGGCCGCGTGCGCCACCAGCGCCCGGCGGCACGGCTGGCGCCGCTGACCCGCGCTGTCGCCGTTGCCAGGGCAAGGGAGCGGCGGGAGCTCAGGCCAGCGGTGCCAGCACCAGCAGCGGCACCAGCACCACCAGCAGCGCCAGCACCGGCAGCACCAGCAGTAGCGCCGCCGCCGCCACCGCCGCAGCCGCCGCCACGCAGGAGCCAGCGGCGCCGGCCCCCGTGGCGGCCGCGCCGCCCGCTAGCCGGCCCTCCGCGGTCGCCGGCGCCGCGCCAGCCGCACGAGCCGCCCCCAGGTACCGCCGCTCGCCCGCCCGGCCGCCCGCCGCCGGTTTGCGTTGGCACGGCTCTTCGCAACTTGTCGATTCCTGGACTTGATCTTTTACTTGTTTCGTAAAAGATGAAGACAACAAAACCACAGACGAGCAACCGAGGCCCCGGTGTGCTCAGTCACGGCTCCTGGCTCGGCCTCTCAGCGCTCCGTCTCGGCTCGGGGGGGGGGGGGGGGGGGGGGGGTGGGGGGGGGGGGGGGGGGAAAGCCGCTCGGTTGCTTCCAGAGACGCACGCATTGCGAGCGGCCCGGCCGTGGCCCAGGCCGAGGCTCGGGAGGCCTGAGCCCGCCTGGGATCCCCGTGGCTCCGAGCCGACTCGGGTTACGCGCGACTTTGAGCCGGCTCGCCCGAGCCGGAGCCAAGTCTTGAGCCGAGCCGCCGCCAACAACGCGGGCGTGAGACACACGCTCGCCGTAGCGGAGGGGCGCTTTTCCACTTTGCGTTGATGCTGTGTGTATGGTGCTGTGTGTATGGTGCTGTGTGTATGGTGCTGTGTGTATCATGCTGTGTGTATGGTGCTGTGTGTATGGTGCTGTGTGTATGGTGCTGTGTGTATGGTGCTGTGTGTATGGTGCTGTGTGTATCATGCTGTGTGTATGGTGCTGTGTGTATGGTGCTGTGTGTATGGTGCTGTGTGTATGGTGCTGTGTGTATGGTGCTGTGTGTATGGTGCTGTGTGTATTCTGCTGTGTGTATGGTGCTGTGTGTATCATGCTGTGTGTATGGTGCTGTGTGTATGGTGCTGTGTGTATGGTGCTGTGTGTATCGTGCTGTGTGTATGGTGCTGTGTGTATGGTGCTGTGTGTATCATATTGCGTGTATCGTGCCGCGTGTATCATGCTGTGTGTATGGTGCCGCATGTATGCCGTCGTACGTATCGCGTGCGCATCAGTTGCCCTCGCCATCTGTGCATGGTGCTGCCGAGTTGTTGTGTTGGCCTTCCCCACGGGTGACGGCGTGTGACGGTGGGCCCCCCTCTCCCTCGTGCCCCCTCCACGCCCCTCCCAGCCCGGCGGCGGCGGCGGCGGCGGCGACGGCGGCGACGGCGGCGACGGCGGCGGCGGCCACGGGGCCCACCCCTGCCAGCAGCACGAGCGGCGCCGGCGGCAGCCTCGTCGATGCCGCCTCCTCCACGCTGGGTACCGGCCCGGTGTCACCGTCGCCGCCGCCGCCATGGCTAGCATCGCCGTCGCGCCAATTCTAACCCTTTCACAGCCAGCCTGCAATTGCGTTGTGTTGTAAGCTTAGTTCGGGTTTTTGGGGGGTTTTTGTTGCTGTGGTTGTTGTTAGATTGAATGGAGGCACACCACCCCTTCGTCATTTTCCGGGTGGTTGCGAGCACGCTCGTGCGCCTAGTGTTGTGGTAGCGCAGTGGGGGAGCAGGTCTCTCGCCGGCGCTACGAACCCCCATGGCCCGAGTTCGATTCCCGCTCACGGACAACGCCACCACGGTGGCGATTAGTCTGAACCGGGCCTGGACCCTCTACCCAGGCAGGCGACACGACCCCGGATGACGACCATGGGGGATGATTGGTGATTCCGGTGGGAGACGTTTCAGATGGGAGGTGTTTGAGATGGGAGATGATTGGTGATTCTGATGGGAGACGTTTCAGATGGGAGGTGATTGTGATGGGAAATGTTTGAGATGGGAGGTGATTGTGATTCTGATGGGAGATGTTTGAGATGGGAGATGTTTGAGATGGGAGATGATTGGTGATTCTGATGAGAGATGTTTGAGATGGGAGGTGATTGTGATGGGAGGTGATTGTGATTCTGATGGGAGATGTTTGAGATGGGAGGTGATTGTGATTCTGATGGGAGATGTTTCAGATGGGAGATGTTTGAGATGGGAGGTGATTGTGATGGGAGATGTTTGAGGTGGGAGATGTTTGAGATGGGAGGTGATTGTGATTCTGATGGGAGATGATTGTGATGGGAGGTGATTGTGATTCTGATGGGAGGTGATTGTGATGGGAGGTGATTGTGATGGGAGGCGAGCGAGGCGTGAGAAGCGCGTGGGTGCTGTGTGCGGCTTGCTGCAGTGACGGGCCAGGCCTACGAGAACATGGTGCAGGAGATGGTGCTCATGGGCTACGAGCGTGAGCGCGTCGTGGCTGCGCTCCGCTCCAGCTTCAACAACCCTGACCGCGCCGTCGAGTACCTCCTCACGGTGCGTGCGAGCTACCGCTACACACAGCCACGAGAGCTACCGCTACACACAGCCACGCTAGCTACCGCTACACACAGCCACGAGAGCTACCGCCACACACAGCCACGAGAGCTACCGCTACACACAGCCACACTAGCTACCGCTACACACAGCCACACTAGCTACCGCTACACACAGCCACACTAGCTACCGCTACACACAGCCACACTAGCTACCGCTACACACAGCCACGCTAGCTACCGCTACACACAGCCACACTAGCTACCGCTACACACAGCCATGAGAGCTACCGCTACACACAGCCATGAGAGCTACCGCTACACACAGCCACGCTAGCTACCGCTACACACAACCACGAGAGCTACCGCTACACACAGCCATGAGAGCTACCGCTACACACAGCCACACTAGCTACCGCTACACACAGCCACACTAGCTACCGCTACACACAGCCACACTAGCTACCGCTACACACAGCCACGTGACCAGCCACTACACACAGCCACACGAGCTACCGCTACACACAGCCACGCGAGCAACAGCTACACACAGCCACACTAGCTACCGCTACACACAGCTACCGCTACACACAGCCACGAGAGCTACCGCTACACACAGCCACGCTAGCTACCGCTACACACAGCCACGAGAGCTACCGCCACACACAGCCACGAGAGCTACCGCTACACACAGCCACACTAGCTACCGCTACACACAGCCACACTAGCTACCGCTACACACAGCCACACTAGCTACCGCTACACACAGCCACACTAGCTACCGCTACACACAGCCACGCTAGCTACCGCTACACACAGCCACACTAGCTACCGCTACACACAGCCATGAGAGCTACCGCTACACACAGCCATGAGAGCTACCGCTACACACAGCCACGCTAGCTACCGCTACACACAACCACGAGAGCTACCGCTACACACAGCCACGAGAGCTACCGCTACACACAGCCACACTAGCTACCGCTACACACAGCCACACTAGCTACCGCTACACACAGCCACACTAGCTACCGCTACACACAGCCACGTGACCAGCCACTACACACAGCCACACGAGCTACCGCTACACACAGCCACGCGAGCAACAGCTACACACAGCCACACTAGCTACCGCTACACACAGCCACGCTAGCTACCGCTACACACAGCCACACTAGCTACCGCTACACACAGCCACGCTAGCTACCGCTACACACAGCCACACTAGCTACCGCTACACACAGCCACGAGAGCTACAGCTACACACAGCCACACGAGCAGCCACTACACACAGCCACACTAGCAGCCGCTACACACAGCCACACTAGCTACCGCTACACACAGCCACACTAGCTACCGCTACACACAACCACGCTAGCTACCGCTAGACAGCCACACTAGCTACCGCTACACACAGCCACGTGAGCAACAGCTACACACAGCCACGCGAGCAACAGCTACACACAGCCACACTAGCTACCGCTACACACAGCCACGTTAGCTACCGCTACACACAGCCACGCTAGCTACCGCTACACACAGCCACACTAGCTACAGCTACACACAGCCACACTAGCTACCGCTACACACAGCCACGCTAGCTACCACTACACACAGCCACGCTAGCTACCACTACACACAGCCACACTAGCTACCGCTAGACACAGAGCCACGCTAGCTACCGCTACACACAGCCACGCTAGCTACAGCTACACACAGCCACGCTAGCTACCACTACACACAGCCACACTAGCTACCGCTACACACAGCCACACTAGCTATCACTACACATAGCCACGCTAGCTACCACTACACACAGCCACACTAGCTACCGCTAGATACAGAGCCACGCTAGCTACCGCTACACACAGCCACGCTAACTACAGCTACACACAGCCACACTAGCTACCGCTACACACAGCCACGCTAGCTACCACTACACACAGCCACACTAGCTACCGCTACACACAGCCACACTAGCTATCACTACACATAGCCACGCTAGCTACCGCTACACACAGCCACACTAGCTACCGCTACACACAGCCATACTAGCTACCGCTACACACAGCCACACTAGCTACCGCTACACACAGCCACACTAGCTACCGCTACACACAGCCACACTAGCTACCGCTACACACAGCCACGCTAGCTACCGCTACACACAGCCACGCTAGCTACAGCTACACACAGCCACGCTAGCTACCGCTACACACAGCCACACTAGCTACCGCTACACACAGCCACGTGAGCTACCGCTACACACAGCCACGCTAGCTACCGCTACACACAGCCACGTGACCAGCCACTACACACAGCCACACTAGCTACCGCTACACACAGCCACACTAGCTACCGCTACACACAGCCACACGAGCTACCGCTACACACAGCCATGCTAGCTACCGCTACAAACAGCCACATTAGCTACCGCTACACACAGCCACGCTAGCTACCGCTACACACAGCCACGCTAGCTACCGCTACACACAGCCACACGTACAACAGCTACACACAGCCACACTAGCTACCGCTACACACAGCCATGCTAGCTACCGCTACACACAGCCACACTAGCTACCGCTACACACAACCACATTAGCTACCGCTACACACAGCCACACTAGCTACCGTTACACACAGCCACACTAGCTACCGCTACACACAGCCACGTTAGCAACAGCTGCACACAGCCACGCTAGCTACCACTACACACAGCCACACTAGCTACCGCTACACACAGCCACACTAGCTACCGCTACACACAGCCACGTGACCAGCCACTACACACAGCCACACTAGCTACCGCTACACACAGCCACGCTAGCTACCGTTACACACAGCCACACTAGCTACCGCTACACACAGCCACACTAGCTACCGCTACACACAGCCACACTAGCTACCGCTACACACAGAGCCACACTAGCTACCGCTACACACAGCCACGCTAGCTACCGCTACACACAGCCACACTAGCTACCGCTACACACAGCCACACTAGCTACCGCTACACACAGCCACACTAGCTACCGCTACACACAGCCACGCTAGCTACCGCTACACACAGCCATGAGAGCAACAGCTACACACAGCCACACTAGCTACCGCTACACACAGCCACGTGACCAGCCACTACACACAGCCACACTAGCTACCGCTACACACAGCCACACTAGCTACCGCTACACACAGCCACACTAGCTACCGCTACACACAGCCACACGAGCTACCGCTACACACAGCCATGCTAGCTACCGCTACACACAGCCACACTAGCTACCGCTACACACAGCCACACGAGCTACCGCTACACACAGCCATGCTAGCTACCGCTACAAACAGCCACATTAGCTACCGCTACACACAGCCACTCTAGCTACCGCTACACACAGCCACGCTAGCTACCTCTACACACAGCCACACGTACAACAGCTACACACAGCCACACTAGCTACCGCTACACACAGCCATGCTAGCTACCGCTACACACAGCCACGCTAGCTACCGCTACACACAGCCACATTAGCTACCGCTACACACAGCCACACTAGCTACCGTTACACACAGCCACACTAGCTACCGCTACACACAGCCACGCTAGCAACAGCTGCACACAGCCACGCTAGCTACCACTACACACAGCCACACTAGCTACCGCTACACACAGCCACACTAGCTACCGCTACACACAGCCACGTGACCAGCCACTACACACAGCCACACTAGCTACCGCTACACACAGCCACGCTAGCTACCGCTACACACAGCCACACTAGCTACCGCTACACACAGCCACACTAGCTACCGCTACACACAGCCACACTAGCTACCGCTACACACAGAGCCACACTAGCTACCGCTACACACAGCCACGCTAGCTACCGCTACACACAGCCACACTAGCTACCGCTAGACACAGCCACACTAGCTACCGCTACACACAGCCACACTAGCTACCGCTACACACAGCCACGCTAGCTACCGCTACACACAGCCATGAGAGCAACAGCTACACACAGCCACACTAGCTACCGCTACACACAGCCACGTGACCAGCCGCTGCACACAGCCACGCTAGCTACCGCTACACACAGCCACACTAGCTACCGCTACACACAGCCACACTAGCTACCGCTACACACAGCCACACGAGCTACCGCTACACACAGCCATGCTAGCTACCGCTACACACAGCCACACTAGCTACCGCTACACACAGCCACACGAGCTACCGCTACACACAGCCATGCTAGCTACCGCTACAAACAGCCACACTAGCTACCGCTACACACAGCCACGCTAGCTACCGCTACACACAGCCACGCTAGCTACCGCTACACACAGCCACACGTACAACAGCTACACACAGCCACACTAGCTACCGCTACACACAGCCATGCTAGCTACCGCTACACACAGCCACACTAGCTACCGCTACACACAGCCACATTAGCTACCGCTACACACAGCCACACTAGCTACCGTTACACACAGCCACACTAGCTACCGCTACACACAGCCACGCTAGCAACAGCTGCACACAGCCACGCTAGCTACCACTACACACAGCCACACTAGCTACCGCTACACACAGCCACACTAGCTACCGCTACACACAGCCACGTGACCAGCCACTACACACAGCCACACTAGCTACCGCTACACACAGCCACGCTAGCTACCGTTACACACAGCCACACTAGCTACCGCTACACACAGCCACACTAGCTACCGCTACACACAGCCACACTAGCTACCGCTACACACAGAGCCACACTAGCTACCGCTACACACAGCCACGCTAGCTACCGCTACACACAGCCACACTAGCTACCGCTACACACAGCCACACTAGCTACCGCTACACACAGCCACACTAGCTACCGCTACACACAGCCACGCTAGCTACCGCTACACACAGCCATGAGAGCAACAGCTACACACAGCCACACTAGCTACCGCTACACACAGCCACGTGACCAGCCACTACACACA